GTTGTTGTGTCCAGCTCTTTGAGACCCCATAGACCGTATAGCCCACCAGGCTCCTCTGGCCATGGAGTTTTCCGGGCAAGAATACTGGAATGGGTAGCCATTCCCTTCTCCAAGGGATCTTCCAGACCCAGAGATCACGCCTGCATCTCTTGCATTGGGAGGCGGATTCTTTAACACTGACACCAAGGAATGGTATCACCATCCTGCCCTGTGGTAGGATGTCTGATATCAGCGGGGGATTGGAATCAGAGCAACTTTTCATCAGCACAGTCACCTCCTCCGCTTTCTCACCTTTGTCAAAGAGAGAGAGCAGGAAGAAGAGGACTGGGGAGACAGAGAAAAGTCATCATTCTTTGGGTGGTCCTACAGAAGCAAGTCAAGTAGTACCTCTAAAAATTTTTGATGCTAAAACATATTTTCTTGCTTACCTTTTTAAATATAAGGAATTCTTTGCTGCTGTTCCTAAAATTCATCCGTAGGAGGTGTCATTAGCTGAGAAGAAAATCACATTCAAATAGCTAAAGCCATGTAGCTCTTGGAGTTTTATAATTTTAGTCACAGCCTGGTCATTTTAACTGCAACTGGAATTACATTTAGATATTAAATTTTAGAAACTTAAACAATTTCTCAAATTTTTAATTGCTGTCCTATATATTAGCGATAAACAAGTGAAATTTGAAATTAAAAACACAATGCCAGGGACTTCCATGGTGGCCCAGTGGTTAAGATTTCACCTTCCAAGGCAGGGGTTGCAGGTTCAATCCCTGGTCGAAGAACTAGGGTCCCACGTGCCTCGTGGCCAAAGGGCCAAAAGGCCAAACAGAAGCAATGTTGTAACAGAGTCAATGAAGACTTTTAAAGAACACCATCTTTATTAGTACCCCAAAACGAAATACTTAGTATAAACCCAACAAAATCCCGCCCTTGTGACGTGACTTTGTGAATCTATTTCCCCACCCCCGAGCCTGGACTGGCCTTATAGCTCTCTTTGGCCAGTGGAATGTGACAGAAGTGATAAGGAGTCAGTTTTGAAGCTGGGCGCGGGAGGCTGTTTTGGTCACACCTACTCTCTTGGGACTGTGCCCAGTGGCCCCAGGAAGAAGCCCAGGTGAGTCCCCTGCAGAGCGCGACACCAGGCCTCCCGGCTGACAGGTGCTGCCCGCAGACATCCGCGCCAGCCCGGCCGGCCCTTCTGGACCTAAAGAACCACTCGGCTGGACTTCCCTGGTGGCCAGTGGAGAAGAACCTGCCTGCCCATGCAGCCGGGGACACGGGTTTGGTCCCTGGTCCAGGAAGGTTCCACGTGACATGGAGCAACCAAGCCCGTGAGCCTAGAGCCCGCGCTCTGCAAGGAGGGAAGCCGCCGCAGTGAAAAGTAGCCCCTGTTCCGGGCAGCTAGAGAAAACCCACACGTGGCAACAAAGCTGTGTCCTCGACTCCGCACAGCCAAGGGGAAAATCAACCACTCGGTCAACACACAGATTCCTGAGCTAATAGAACACATACAGGGGGCTGGGATAGTTTGTGGGGCAGTATTCTCGAGGCAAGAGAAAACTCATTCAAGTAGCTCCTACTTAACAGGTGAAATGTGCTGTGTCCATTGAGTGTTTCATGTAGCTCTCTGTACATACGTGTAAGACTAAGCTTATATACACCCTTGGGTGTGCATGCATACCGATTTACATTCATGGGCAACTTTACTCAGAGCGGTGGTTTGCTATATAAATGTATAATTTCTTTGTGGCCAGTCACAGAGAACTGGCCAGCCGCAGTTTTCTGTTTTCCTTGGAGGGAGATGGAATGACTCCTGGTCTGGGAAATTGAAGAGCATGGGCCCCTGATGAGATGCAGAGCAAGGTTATGGAAAGAGAAGGGGGTTTTCCTTCAGAAAACGCCAGGACACCTGAGAGGGAGACATCTCAGACGATCCATCCATAACACCACGCAGCAAACGTCAGTCTGCGTGTGGCTGTGGTGGTGAGCAAGACTGACAACGTCCCCACTGCTCAGGAGCTAGGATTCCAATCTGTGCGTGTTAGTCGCTCAGTGTCTGACTCTTTATGACCCCGTGGACTGTAGCCTGCCAGGCTCTTCTGTCCATGGGATTTCCCAGGCAAGAATACTGTATTCTTGGAGTGGGTTGCCATTTCCTCCTCCAGGGGATCTTTCCGACCCAGGGATCGAACTTGCGTCTCCTGCATTGCAGGCAGATTCTTTACCGTCTGAGCCACCAGGGAAGGTGCCTAGAAATCACAGAGACAGACCAGCAGTTCTAGAATGGTCAGAGGGGCTCCAGAAGGGGGTTACTGGGGCTCTGTTCTCTGGCTGTTCCTGCTTCACATGCTGGGCCCCTGCACACACCGTTCTCTCAGCCCAGCAGGTCATTCCCTTTTCTTATTACATTTCTTTTCGGCTCCTGGAGGAGATAACACATGTACATGGTTTGAAAAATAAAATGATAAAGAATGATTGGGAAGACTGGGTCCCGTGCTCGCCTGGTCCTCTGCCTTCCTGCCCCCCCCCCACCGCCTACTGGAGAGGTTCATTTCTATCAGTTCCTCACTTATGTTGCCAGTCTTTCTGCAAACACAAGGAAATAGGGACAAACATGCCATCCCCCAACCTTCCTTGTACAAGATGTAGACCACTATATATACTCACCGGTCCTTGCTTTTTTTCTTTGCTTAACAGTATCTTCTGGAAAGCTCGTTCTATCAGAGTGCTGGTGGACGGCAACCCCTTTTTTACAGCAGTGTAGTATTCTACCACAGGGATGTCTGTGGATCGCCCAGCCCTCTATAGATGTGGATTCCAGACTTCCGCTATTACAAACGATGCTGCCATGAATAACCATGTTCGCACATCCTTCCGCACAGGTGCAGACGCCTCTGGGGGAGAAATTCCCAGAAGTGCTGCCCCACCTTTTCTTCCTGGCAAACTCTTACTCACCTTCTGACACCCACGACCCAGGGAGCCAGACATAAGAAGAGGCATGTCCAGAGAGCTGCAGGGAGCATGCCTGCCTTCGCCACAAAGCTGGGAGTCGCTGCTTAGGGCATGCACCCCTCCCTCCTTATTTGCCTCTAAATTCCCATGAGTAGATACATCAATAGATGATGTTCAGACACATGTTTCTTAGGAAACTCAGGAAGACAACTCCTAGAAGAGAAGTGTATTCTTTCTCTAGGTACCAATTCCTACTCACCACTACAAAATCTGTATCTGAACAGCCTAAACATTAGCAACCAGAAGAGGGAAGGGACTCAGAACACACAGCAAACCCCAACAATCCACTCTTCTAGAAACAATTTTCAATCTCATGCCTTAACACAGATTGTCTCAAGAAAAAAATCTTGAATATGTATGCATAAGCTGCATTTTGACTGTTCTTAAATTGTTTCTTTTTGTCTTTCAGGAACATTAGTGGAAGTTATCGAATGAGCAAGCAAATAAGGGAAAACATACCTATTACAACTCAATAGTTGTCTCAGCATATAGAAAAGCAAAGTATGAGCAAAAAATGTGCAGACTATGTCTATTGATAATAATAGGCAGCATGTATCAAGTATTTACTATGATTGTAAATGTATTCAGTTAATCCTCTTTGAAAGCAAAAACTTCACACTTGTTACTTTTAGTATTCCTAGTTTATACATCTAGAAACTGAGGCACAGAAAAGTTAAGAAATTTGTACAAGGCAGCTGGAATTTAAAGCAAAGTAATCCAACTGAAGAGTCCATGTCCTTCACGTTTGTTCCTTACATAAATAAAGACTAAAGGTGACAGTTCAGGGTGGCAGTAATGGAATGCAAGTTTCTTATCAAAACAGAGCTTCTAGCTCATGGCCCCAAATCGCCACTGAGCTCCAGCCCCCACACGCACATTCCAGTTTACATAAACGAGGAAGGGGAAAAAAGAGTGTATCTCCTCCCTTTACTACTGTAAGACTTCCCAGAATTTGAATGATACTTCCTCTTTTAAAAATCTATTGGCCACAATCCACAATTTCGCTCCCTGGCCATACCTAGTTCCAAGAAAGGTTGGTGAAAGTAGCCTTTGTTCTGGAAGGGCATGCTGGAAATACTGGGGTTTATTATTAGGGGAGTCATAAAAATGGATATTGAGGAATAACTGGCAGATTCTACCACACAGTAAAAGAGCAGCATGAGCGTGTGGGTTCTTAGGTATCAAGTAAAAGTGCTTATCTGCTGGGTAAGCTTTCCTGCCCACCGGTTGTCCCCCACCCCCAGTCCCCACACACCTCATAAAAAGAGGTCTGGGCCAGCACACCTGATGTTTGGACACCTGGTGTTTCCTGATCAGCACACCTGATGTTTCTGTCTGTTGCACTGATGTCCACTGGGCCTTGTTTCAGCACCTTAAGGTCATTCAGAATAACTAAACCTGAGCTCTTTTCCCTAATAATTCAGATATTCGAAGCCACCAAGTGCCCACAGCCAGATTCCTATCCTCCCAGCACCCAGTGTATTCTGCATCACTTCCCAGTGTGTTACCCAGGATGGGACTTGGAAGTCCTAGGAGTGGCCTTACCCAATCAGAAGAAGATGACCACGCTCAGAAAATAGGCATCTATTAGTATATGTCTCCAACAGCTTCCCAGGTTGCTTTAGGATTTTTGACAATTACTTTACACTTTAACTCAGATTAAAGCTTCCCTGGTGTCTCAGATGGTAAAGAGCCATTGCATTGCTCCTGCCTGCAATGCGGGAGACCTGGGCTCGATCCTGGATTGGGAAGATCCCCTGGTGAAGGGAATGACAACTCACTCCGACATTCTTGCCTGGAGCATCCCTGTGGGCAGAGGAGCCTGGCGGGCTACAGCCCATAGGGTTGCAAAGAGTCTAACATGACTGAGTGACTTTCACTCACTCACTCACTCAATTCAGATACCACCTCCTAAAGCTGTCTATCAGCGACCCCATTTGTTGCAACTGATTGTTTTGGCTTTGATATAGACCTTCCGTTGCTCCCTATTTTACCTTCTCTTCTGGATCAGGCCTCTCGGCTTCAACGTGACAAAGACAGCTTCGTTCGCGAGTCTGCAGATCAACAGCCGTCCGCCGCTCCCACCCACGCCTGCAGTTGCAGGAACTCGGTGCCCCATCGCGTCACCAAGCAGCGTTGCGCAGGGTGGGGCAGAGGCCGATGGCGTGTGACCCACCGTGAAATCCTCCCTCCAGCTGCCACGGGTCCGTGGAGCAGCCCTTTCTGTGGCAACGGGGAGAACCGGTTTGGATGTGTGTTGCTGCCATGGCGACGCCCAAGCGGGCGGCTCGGGGCCCCGGGGAGATGCTTCTGGCGGCACCTGCTCCCCAAACTCTCCTTCAGCAGCGAGGAGATTCCAGAGCCCTGGGAGCCAGAAACCGGTTGTTGGGAGGCAGCATTCGTTCAGCATTCACTCATTCCTCGTTCGTTTTTGAAGCCTACACGGAGGTCTTCTACGGGGCAGAAGGCTATGTTCTGAGCGTAAAGGCCACAAGACCCTTGCCGCGTGGGGAGCAGCTGGGCCGACTCTGAACTCCGCCGTGTTGCGCGGTCCTCCGCTCAGCGCTCAGTGGCTCCCCGGCCCTTCCCACGGCCCCCAGGACCTTGCCCGCCCCGACTCCTCCGCCCCCCTCTCCCTCCAGCCACACGGGCCTTCTTTCCGAACAGCCAGATGCGTGAGCTCGTGTCCTCCGATCTTCCTATTTCTCTCTCCTTTGTCTAGAACGCTCTTCCCCAGAGAGCATCGTGACTCTCGCCTGCCCTCCTTCAAACCTTTGCTCAGAATCACCTTCCAGGAGCCCCCTCTGGCCACCCTGCCCTAGTGTCAGCTCTCCCAGCGTATTTCACTCCTCCTTCCTGATTTATTTTTTTCTCTTTATCCTCTTCTCCAACATTCACTATCCTAAGTTTTAATCCCATTTCACTTTGATTTCCCCCACTAGGAATTAAGCCTGAAAGCAGCAGGGAGCTATGGATTTTTCCTTTTGGATTCAGAGCTCTTAGATGACTAACTGTTAAATAGAATGAATGAACATGCAATTTCAGTATAAGGAAAGGAAAAATTCTGGGGCGCCTTAGAAACAGAAGAAAAAGAAAAAAAAAAGCAAAAAGGCAAAATGGTTGTCTGATGAGGCCTTACAAATAGCTGTGAAAAGAAGAGAAGCAAAAGGCAAAGGAGAAAAGGAAAGATATACCCATCTGAATGCAGAGTTCCAAAGAATAGCAAGGAGAGATCAGAAAGACTTCCTCAGTGATCAATGCAAAGAAATAGAAAAAAACAATAGAATGGGAAGGACTAGAGATCTCTTCAAGAAAATTAGAGCTACCAAGGGAACATTTCTCACAAAGGTGGGCTCAATAAATGACAGAAATGGTATGGACCTAACAAAAGAAAAATATATTACGAAGAGGTGGAAAGAATACACAGAAGAACTGTACAAAAAAGATCTTCATGACCCAGATAATCACGATAGCGTGATCACTCACCTAGAGCCAGATATCCTGGAGTCCAAAGTCAGGTGGGCTTTAGGAAGCATCACTACAAACAAAGTTAGTGGAGGTGATGGAATTCCAGTTGAGCTATTTCAAATCCTGAAAGATGATGCTGTGAAAGTGCTGCACTCAATATGCCAGCAAACTTGGAAAACTCAGCAGTGGCCACAGGACTGGAAAAGGTCAGTTTTCATTCCAGTCCCAAAGAAAGGCAATGCCAAAGAATGCTCAAACTACTGCACAATTGCACTCATCTCACATGGTAGCAAAGTAATTCTCAAAATTCTCCAAGGGAGGCTGCAACAGTACGTGAACCAAGAACTTCTAGATGTTCAAGCTGGATTTAGAAAAGGCAGAGGAACCAGAGATCAAATTGACAACATCTGTTGGATCATAGAAAAAGCAAGAGAGTTCCAGAAAAACATCTACTTCTGCTTCATTAACTATGCCAAAGCCTTTGACTGTGTGAGTCACAACAAACTGTGGAAAATTCTTCAGGAGATGGAAATACCAGACCATCTGACCTACCTCCTAAGAAATCTGTATGCAGGTCAAGATGAAATAGTTAGAACTGGACATGGAATAACAGACTGGCTCCAAACTGGGAAAGGAGTACGTCAAGGCTGTATATTGTCACCCTGCTTATTTAACTTATATGCAGAGTACATCATGAGAAACGCTGGGCTGGAAGAAGCACAAGCTGGAATCAAGATTGCTGGGAGAAATATCAATAACCTCAGATATGCTGAAGACACCACCCTTATGGCAGAAAGTGAAGAAGAACTAAAAAGCCTCTTGATGAAGTGAAAAGAGGAGAGTGAAAAAGTTGGCTTAAAATCCAACATTCAAAAAACTAAGATCATGGCATCCAGTCCTATCACTTCATGGCAAATAGATGGGGAAGTAATGGAAACAGTGAGAGACTTTATTCTGGGGAGGCTCCAAAATCACTGCAGATGGTGATTGCAGCCATGAAATTAAAAGACGCTTGCTCCTTGAAAGAAAAGCTATGACCAACCTAGACAGCATATTAAAAAGCAGAGACATTACTTTGCCAACAAAGGTCCGTCTAGTCAAAGCTATGGTTTTTCCAGTAGTCATGGATGGATGTGAGAGTTGGACTATAAAGAAAGCTGAGTGCCAAAGAATTGATGCTTTTGAACTGTGGTGTTGGATAAGACTCTTGAGAGTCCCTTGGACTGCAAGGAGATCCAACCAGTCCATCCTAAAGGAGATCAGTCCTGGGTGTTCATTGGAAGGACTGATGCTGAAGCTGAAACTCCAATACTTTGGCCACCTGATGAGAATAACTGACTCATTGGAAAAGACCCTGATGCTGGGAAAGATTGAAGGCAGGAGGAGAAGGGGATGACAGAGGATGAGATGGTTGGATGGCATCACCAACTCAATGGACATGAGTTTGAGCAAGCTCTGGGAGTTGGTGATGGACAGGGAGGCCTGGTGTGCTGCAGTCCATGGGGTCGCAAAGAGTCAGACAGGACTGAGCTATTTAACTGAACTGAACCTAGAAGGACTTGGGAAGGGGTCCCAACCCAGTGCTGGGAGATCAAGAGGCTTTTCTGAGAATAGTAGGATGAGTCAGCAAGGGCCAGGTAGGCAGCGGAGAGGAAGGGGGTTCCCGGAAGAGGAAACAGCGCAGGAACGGCTCCGGTGGACGGGACCCGGCGTGCTGGGAACGGCTGCACTTGGCAGTTGTGCATCGTTGGATGTGGCAGCCTTGGAGGAGGACAGCAGGAGCCCCGTGGAGGAGCCACAAACCTGGAGACGGCGCTGAGAACCCACGCAGCGAGCACCAGGAGCCGCGGCGAAGCGGCATCGTCGTCTCTAGTCTAGGCAGGCCGGCGTGCGCGACCCCTCGGGCATCTGGCTGAACCAAGGGTAGAAAGGGGAGTGTGGACAGTGGACGGGAGGGGAGGCAAGCAAGGGAGGGGGTAGCAGTGGGAACACGGCTCACTCGTCCCACTGGAAGGGGCTGGTGGTGAAGGAGGGCAGGGGCCAGCGAGCCCTGGGAAGGGCCAGATGGGAAACGCGGGGCCACTGTAGGAAGAAAAAGAGCGTGCATGTGATGACATGTGGCTGCTCTCCCCTAAACCTTCATTTGCAAGATCGGTGGTCCAGATCCGGCCCAGGGGCTGTAGTCCACTCTCCAGACCTGCGGATTGGTGGACCTCCTGATGGATGTGGAGGGACAGGAGCCAGCAGAGCGGGTGGTGGGTTGGCTCTGGCTGGAGGGCAGGCAGACCTCCCGCTGGGCGCTGGGCCATGGGGAGCTGAAACCATCGGTGCCCACAAGCCTTAGTCAAGGATGCCACTGGAGAATCTCTGCGTCCATCCAACCCCAGTGTGAAATATTCCAAGAAACAAGAGAGAAGCTGTCTGACGGTGCAGGGGGGAGCAGCCAAAACTGGGTCGAGGGAGATAGGGTATCCTAGGAGGGTCTGGGGGCTGAACTTGGGGATCCCTCCCGCCAGGATTAGACTGCCAGGCACCCTGACCTGTCCTCTGCAGGGATGCCCCCTTTGGGGCCCTGCCACACCCCTCAGCCTCCTCTGCCAGGTTCCCCTCCACAACGCCTGTGCTTTCCCTTCCACCCGAATCCTCTGCAGGTGGATGAAGCTCAGTGAGCCCCACTGTGAATCAGAAGATGCAGGGGTGCCTGTGAGTGGTGGGGCAGCTCCCTGGGGTGAGTGAGTGAGAGGAGGAGAAACGGGGTGAGGATGTTGGGTCTTCAGACGTGGACGAACACCAGCATCTCAACAGGTGAACACAAGACAATGGCAGGAAAAATAACCAGGATAGGAGACAGCAAGACAAGATGCCAAGTGATGGATCCAAACGGGCTCCTCTCTGACCCCTCCTGCCGGGGGTCGGCAGGGATGGGGGGTGCTCCTCCCCAGCCCACAACCCACACGCGGCTCCTGTTCAACAGTTTCAAAGGTCACACGCTGACATGACAGCTGCTAAGTCTGTGATGAAAACACGCATGGGCGGCATTGTGCGAGGGGCGTTGTGGACCCACGGGTTTCAGGTCACCGCTCCGCACTGGGCCTCAGCCCCGAGCCTGGCCAGAGCCAGGCCTGCGGTGGGGCGCCCGCAGCCAGGGGACCGGTCCGATCCAAGGCAGCCCCCGGGGGGATTGCAGGATTGCATGTGGCTCAGATGCGAATGAACCCTGAGACTTTTCAATCCACCAGCGGGAGGAGTGAAACCTCACTCTGCTTGTCTTGGACCTGCTCAGTGCCATCCAGAGGTCAGCAGGAACCCGGCTTCTCAGCGGAGAGGCCCTGCCCGAGCCCCAGCCTCGCGGAGACGGCTTGGGACTGACCGCGAACCCATTCCACCCGCCAGCCCTGTGCCCCCTCAGGGCAGCCCCCACTTCCGCCGGCCCCTGCAGCCTGGCCTTCCCTCCTCTTCCTCACGCCGCCCCCGGAGCAGCTCAGGCTGCCTGTGAGTGCCTGGGCTCTGGGCCTACCCGCCAGCGGCCTCCTGCACTGGCCATCTGGCCTGCGGTCTCCCGGGAAGGCTGCTTCCAGACGCCTTCGGAAAGGCTGGCTACACAGCACTGCCCCCAGCACGCGGGCACACACACGCATGCGCACACGCACACACATGGACGTTGTAGCACACACCGCCACCTCTGGCTGGTTTGGAGTGACTGATGGCAGTCAAGAGCGTGTCCACCAGAGCTCTAGTTTAGCCCGAGTCCAGGGACCCCGGGCACGTTTCAGGTCGTGGTCTTGCATCAGCCGTGTGCTGGTCCGGGGCTCTGCTTGGTGGGTTTGTCCGGTCCCTTCCTGTTTCCCAGTGATTGTCAGGGGCTCGCGGAGCTCAGGCAGCAAGCAGAGAACTGAGCCTGGATGGAGACCGTGGGTGGCGGCCACACCTTCCCCTCCCCAGTCCCCTCGAGGCACTTCCCATTTACGCAGGGGAAGCTTCTGGGATGGGCAGTGTCTGTGGTGTCCCAAGGGCGAAAGAACAGAAGAAAAACCTAGGAGAGTCTTGGAATGCAGGAATGGAAAAAGTCAGACCCTTATCATGCTTCCCTCCCCCTTGTAACTAGTGACGGATTTCAGGTCCTCCTGAGCAGTATGAGCCGTCTCCCCTCGTACCCCACAAGGAGAAGGTATTTGCCCTACTCTTGCCCCACCCAGCATGCGTGCCTCATTCAATCAGCAAATGACCCGCAAGACCCCATCCCACTCCTTGTAGCCTGGCTATAAAAGTGGACCAAGGACCCGTGTTCAACGTCAGCTCTCCCTTCAGCTGGCCCGCTGTTCTGAGTCTCCTGCTCTCACAAACCTTATCTCCCTCTCATTCTGTCTCACGTCTGGAAATTCTTCTCCAGCCCGCACACAGACCATGGCAGTGTCCTTGGCTGTCAACTGAAGCTGAAGGCCTCTGGGCAGCTGCAGCCATGTAGGAGGCTGTCAGGACCGGAGCCAGCCCCGTGTGGTCCAGGGTTGGGTGGGGAGGGGGCCGGGTTCGGAACTACCAGGCGCAGCTAGGACCCCAGGCCGACCACAGATCGAACGCCAGTGCCTCCTCACGAGGCTGAGGCCGACAGACAGGGCTTCTGCAGGTGGAGGACGGGTGCCCCCGGCTGGGCAATCCCAGCGGGGTCAGGGAGGAAAGCAGGCCGGGTGGGAGGGGGACAGAACCCAGCAGCCGTCTGAAGATGCAGAGGTGAGTCCGTCCTGGGCTCCCCAGAGCAGGAGCTTCGGGGCCGCTGACAGATGCAGGGCAAGCCAAACCCCCTGCAATGCCCCCAGGCCTCCAGCCGCATCTCAGCCCCCAACTCCATCCTGAGCAAACCCCGCCCACGAGGCCAGCCCGTCTCTGAATCTGCTGTGTGGCCACATGCACCGCGGCAACCTCTCTGTGCCCTGACCTCCACAGCACTAAAGCGGGGTGACGAACACCCTACCCTTGATGCAGGCTGTGAGCTCGGTGGGCAGGGCCGGCCCCACGGAGGCCTGGTCGGCGTCGCTCGAAGTACGAGGATTCTCCTGGCCCTAAGGCAGCAGACATCTCCCAGACCCAAGGGAGCCTTCCCCCATCTCTGCATCGTTCTTTGACAGCAACACGTCTTCGCCTGCAAAGAGGGAGTGAGAAGCTCAGGTTCTTTTCTTCTTTCCATTTAGATGCCCAGTTCGGGTTGCAAACCTGGAATTCAGTCAGCCTGTCATTTTCCTGAGCAGGAAACCGGGGAAGAGGGCAATCCCCAGGCTAGTCTGTCACTCAAAGTGGTCCCCACCCTCCTCACACCCACACACACACACGCATGCACACACACACTCACGCATGCACACACACACTCACACACACCTCTGATTGAAGGGTGACACAGCTGCTGAACCAATGAGATGCAGTGCATAACATCTGCTTTTTAACTAAATTATTAATTATTCATCATAATGATGAGTCAATCTTTCATCAACACCAAAACCTATAGTGTTTGTGTGGCTTAGGTCCCCAGCCTCTGGGGTCTGATACCTGATGATCTGAGATGTAGCTTCCCTGATAGCTCAGCTGGTAAAGAATCCGCCTGCAATGCAGGAGACCCCAGTTGACTCCTGGGTCAGGAAGATCTGCTGGAGAAGGGAGAGGCTACCCACTCCAGTGCTCGTGGGCTTCCCTTGTGACTCAGCTGGTAAAGAATCCTCCTGCAATGTGGGAGACCTGGGTTTAAGCCCTGGGTTGGGAAGATCTCCTGGAGAAGGGAAAGGCTACCCACTCCAGTATCCTAGCCTGGAGAATTCCGTGGACTGTATAGTTCATGGGGTCACAGAGTCGGACACGACTGAGCGACTTTCACACACTGAGATGGAGCTGGTGTAGTAAAAATGAAGTGCACAATAGGAGTCATGTGCTTGAATCATTCCAAAATCACCCCCTCTTCCTCAGTCAATGGAAAAATTTTCTTCCACAAAACCAGTCCGGGGTGCCAAAAAGGTTGGCAACCCTGGCTGAGAACAGCAACACCATGAGGGGCCAGGCCACAGACGCCCAGGCCTGTCCACTGCCCTGCCTCTTGCTTCACTCCCGGGGCATCTACGGGCCCCAGCAATGTCTAACCTGCCCGTGACTTCCGACCGAGCAGTCGGGTACATGGTCACCCTGTGTGAGACCCAAAAGACCATATGAGTGCCCTCTGCTTCCAAGCATCAACACAAAACTCAACCAGAGGGACCGGCTGAGGAAGGAAGGACGTCCTGACACGGGCCACTCCCCGGAGGAACCTTGAGGACACCACACCGAGTGAGACCGGCAGGTCCCACGAGGACAGGTGCCGCAGGATTCCCCGAATAGGAGGGCCACGGAGGGCCACATCCATCGAGGCAGTGAGTGGGATGGTGAGTGTCCAGGGCTGCGACGGAAACGGAGTTTGCGTTTAATGGGGACAGAGGTTCAGTTCGGGGCGATGGAAAACTTCGGGAGATGGACAGAGGTGGCAGAGCAGTATGAATGAACTGAAGGGCGCTGACCTATACCCTTAAAAAATGGTTAAAACAGTACACAGCATGCTATGTGTACTCTGCCACAATTTTAAAAAAATAAATTAGAAAGAACGAATTCTCCCACAAAATTAAGAGGTGAGCAGGGCAGCTTGGACCATGAGACCCTCCGAGGTGGCAGAAATCAGGAAAGTCTTCAAGGAAGAGGCAGCACTCACTTGACCATCCGCACCCCAGCCCCATCCCAGGTACTCGTCCTCAACGAGCTGTGAGGGGCTGGCTGAATGTGAGCACTGTCTGACCCTCTGATGACATCGACGGGACGCGAGGGCGTCAACTGCTGAGAAGGCCTCATCACCAAGGCATGGTGTGGCTGGTGTGACTCTATAAGACAAATTCTGAAACCCAGCTCTTTTGAAAGTGAAGCGCTGCTGATCATTACCCTCGACAAACAGCGTGTGGTCCCCCAGGGCCTCACGGGAAAAGCCCCGACTTGGGAATCAGGCAAGCCTGGGTCTCATCCTAGCTCAGGCTCTCACCCGGGCAAATGATGGGCGGTCTCTGAGCCTCACTTTCCCTACCTGTAAATTTTCTATCTCATGAGGTTATTGTATCAGAAATGGGGTGAGAATAGCTCCAGTTTGGGATCTGTTATCCCTAAGCATTAAAGCCCTGGAGTCTTACCTCCATTATCTGCAATTCTGAGACCCAAAAAGCTCTGAAAACTGAAAGATTTCTAAACTCATTCTGCGGCAAAACCGGACTGTGACCGATGCCTGGCTGTTCAGAAGCTTGGTCTCATTCAGTGTAATTTATTCCCATTTCTCTGAAGAGATGGCCTTGTCCCTGAGGAGAGACGGCTGCCCCAGTACCTGCTGGGCATGTCTGACCCTTCCTCAGCGGGAGCCTTCTGTATGAGGCTGGAAGGATGAGGACTCTGGTCACAGCTTCAGTGTCTCATGCAGATTTAAGTATCTTACCGCCTATAGATAGAGTTATGGGGTGTTAAGTGAAAAATGTCGTGCTTAGCATTGAACAAGAAACATGTAAAACAAAATAATGTGTATTCTATGCTCCTCTTTGTTTTAAAACGATGTCTGCACCCATAAGCTTATCTAAGCAGAGTCCACCCTGAGAAGCATCCTTGAGGATGGAGACCATGGTTGCCCCTGGAAACAGGAAAGCCAGGATCCGGGTATAGGAAGACTCATGTTGCATTGTGCACCCTCACATATGTTAGTATTTTTATTCCACATACAGAATACATTTTAAGACATTAAAATAAGGCATTAAAAGCACTTTCATTAGGATGACTCTAATGAATGATTCTAATTAAGAAAAGAAAGAGAAAACAGGGACTTCCCTGGTGGTCTGGTGGCTAAGACTCAGAGCTCCCAGTGCAGGGGGCCTGGGTTCAATCCCTGGCCAGGGAACCAGATCCCACATGCTGAAACCAAGAGTTTGCGTGCTGGAGCTAAAGTTCCTGCGTGCCACAACAAAAGCCTGGCCCAGCCAAATAAGTCGAATAAATAAATAGAAACAGCCACTGTTGGCAGGGAACTCTCCTGCACTGCTGGTGAGAATGTAAAATGATGTGGCTATGGGAAGCCGTACGGCAGTTCCTCAAAAAATTAAACTTAGAATATAGCATTCAGCCATCCCACTCCTGGGCACCTACCCAAAGGAACTGAAAGCAGCATCTCAAGCAGATTCTTGTAGCCCCAACCTCACAGCAGCATTGTTCAGAGGTAGAAGCAACCCGAGTGTCCATCAGCAGATGGACGGGTAAACAACCCGAGTGTCCGTCAGTGGACGGATGGATGAACTAAAGGTGGCATGGATGGACGATGGAATGTTATTCAACCTCTACCAGTAAGGAGATTCCGACACAAGAATGAACCTTCAAGACATTATGTTCAGTGAAATAAGCCAGTCATGAAGGACAAATGCTATAGGGTTCCACTTATGTGAGGTCCCTAGAGTGTCAAATCCATACAGACAGAGGAACAGAGAACAGAATGGGTGTTGCTGGGGGCTGGAGGGGAGGGCTGGGGAATATTTAAGGGAGATAGAGGTTCAGTTTGGGATGGTGAGAAAGTTCTGGAGCTGGATGGTGGTGTTGATCACCACTGTGCTGATCACAGCATTAAGGTACTTCATGCCAGTGAACTGTCCACTTAAAAATGGTTAAAACGGTAAACTTTATGTTGTGTGTATTTTACTATAGCTAAAGTTAAAAGAAACATTTCTCTCATCATATGCCTTTGGATGCTGAATCGCTGGAGCAGGACTTCCCATTAGCTGGGCAGGCGGCAGGCCTGAATAGTGACTGAATAAGGCGTGAGTCAGAGGGCCGTGGTCAGGAAGGGCCCTCCCCATGGGGCTCCTCCCTCCCCACGGGACTGCTCGGCCCCGCTGACCGCCCAGTGCCCTTCGGCAGGGCTGGTCTGGGCCGAGGCGGAGCAGGTGCTGGGCTCCAGGCCACCATGGACCAGGCTGGGGCCATCACAGAGTCAGTGCAGGCTGCCCAGAGCTGGGGCCTGCTGGGACACATGCCGGGGAGTCATGGCAAGATGCCCGGAGGAAGCCGTGGGTGCCCCCCACCCCCACCCCTGCCACATCCAGTCCTGCCAAAGAAGATATGAGGGCTCCGGCTTCCCTCAGAGGGAAGGCAGTTCCCCTGCCCAGGCACCTCCTCAAAAGTCTAAGGAGGCAAATAGAAGAAATAAGAATATTCACCTCTTTCTTTAATACTGGACACCTACATTTCTCTCTTCATCTTTTCCATCTTTTTTTCTTTTCTTTTCTAAGTTAAAAGAAGGGCCTTTCTGACTGACTAGGGTGTTTGGACCATATCTATGCACCAACTGGCAATTTCAGTGGCATTTCTGGGTTTCTTCTTACCAGCAAAGCAATGCCCCATGTGAGGCGCAGACCCCGGGAGCCCTGTTGGTCTCTCACCCACAGGGGGCCCCGTGGCGTCCCTGGGTCTCAGGTGCCTCGGAGGCTCTGTCCACTTGTCGTTCAGTCACTCAGTCGTGTCCAACTCTTTGCAATCCCATGGCCTGCAGCACGCAAGGCTTCCCTGTCCTTCACCATCTCCCAGAGTTTGCTCACACTCATGCCCACTGAGTCAGTGATGCCATCCAACCACCTCATCCTCTGCTGCCCTCTTCTCCTTTTGCCCTTAGACTTCCCCAGCATCAGGGTCTTTCCCAGTGAGTCAGCTCTTCACAGCATGTGTCCAAAGTACAGGAGTTTCAGCTTCAGCATCAGTCCTTCCAATGAATATTCAGGACTGATCTCCTTTAGGATGGACTGGCTGGATCGCCTTGCAGTCCAAGGGACTCTCAAGAGTCTGTTCCAACACCACAGTTCAAAAGCATCAATTCTTCAGCGCTCAGCTTTCCTTATGGTCCAACTCTCACATCCATACATGACAACTGGAAGGACCACAGCTTTGACTGTATGGACCTTCGCTGGCAAAGCGGTGTCTCTGCTTTTTAATATGCTGTCTGGGTTTGTCATAGCTCTCTA